CCGCCCAGGTCCCCTGGACCACGCCTCTCCGGCCGGGTCCTGCTGCCACGCGCTGCTCGGATGCTTTGCGAGGAGACGTGGACCGCCGAGCTGCACCAGGCTTGCGGTTAGCTGGAGCCGCCGCAGAGCTAGCCCGGCCTCTTAAAGGGACAAGCAGCTTCCGCAGCGCTCGTTTCTGGATTTAGGTAGCCCTCTCCCCCACGTCCTCTGCCAAGGAGACTCCGCTTCTCTCCCACCCCAATTCCCAGGACCCAAATTCCCACGGGGTACGGAAAACCTCGGCCTGGAAGGGCTGGGGAACCATAGCATCCGAAGGTGCATCTGCACCCCACCTCCACTTCAGCCTGGGCAGCTTAGATCGACCTTCCCAGGATAAGGCCTCTCGTGCCTGCACGTTCCCCACGCGGCGGACCCAGGCAGGCTCCTCCACTCCTTACCCCCAGGTTCCGCCTGGGCACTGCAGAGCCCTCTAATCCCCCGGCCCACGGAGGTGCCACGCCGATTAAGGGGATACGGGGGACGGGGGAGGGAAGTCGCAGTGAAAACCATTCGGGAATATGACACCCTCTTGCTCAGCCTGGGCTGCTGTTGCTCCGCCCGCCCGGAATGACCACCTCCACACCACCGCACACTCACACGCTGAGATGTAGCTGACCCCAGAGCTGGAGGTCCATTTCACTGAGCCATTTAGGGGGCAACGTGGGGGAGGAACTCATCTGGAGGGTGGAGCCAGCCCGAGGACGCATTCATTCATTCATTCTTTCATTCATTCAAATCTGTTTTCAGATCTACCACTCTAAAGACCAAGTTCTCCAATCTGGTGTTCGCTAGAATCAATTTGCAAACATCTATCTTTTTTTAAATGATAACAATAGCTCTCATTATTGAGTGCTTAGTGTATGTCAGGTGCCATACTTAATTATTGTCCCCATTTTACCGAGGTCACTGAGACCAGAGAAGCAGCAGCAAGCAGTCCCAAAGCGAATACTCTGTCCTGCCCACTCCACTGGCCTCTTGTCCATTTCCCCATTTGATCCTCACCACAAACCTCGGAGAGGAGGTGACGCCTACCTTTGAATGTCTTTGGGTTGCATTCTGTGTGCACTTAGCAAGATATGTGGCATGTTCCAGATTGTTCTGGACACATTTTTTAATTGAAATTTAATATTTGTCTTGTTATTACATTTGGTGTTTGTTTTGTCTCATTGTGTATAAGCTTGAGGGCAGGTACCCTGTTTTACAGGGACAATGGCTTGGTGTTCTCAGCAACAAAAGAGACACAAAGGTGACATGGGCTTGCTCTGGGGTGAGGTTGAGGCTGTGGTGTTTGCTGTTTTTGATTCACTCATAAGAGCAAACCCTCCACATGTTTCCTTCCCTCACCTCTAGCTTCTTGCTTCCTGTGAAAATAGGCTCACCTATACAGCGCAGCCTGAAACTGCCCTGCCGTGAAACCTTTCCCTGTTTATCCCAGCCCAGTGGCCACTGCCCTTTACTCTTTGTTCTCTCATCTCTTGGTGCTTTTCTTGTTTACTTAACCTAAAGAGTCAAAACCCCTTTGCCTTCAACCAGGAGTTCCTAGACATCCCCAAGGGGGCTGAGGATAGAAGTCTGAAGGGTTCGTGACATTGGGATGGACAAAAGTTTATATCTCCATTTTTCACCAATCTCTAAAGGATACTTAGCATTTCCTTTGATCATGAATGCAGCCACCAGGTAAAAAGTCCCTGTGATTTTGCCATTAACAAAAATCGCAGATATTTTCATATCACACTTTAGTTACTGTAGAAATCTCAAAATATTGTTTAAGCTACCACAACTCTGAAATTAAGGTCATATCAGGCTCACCACTGAATCTTACTTAATGGATTAATAAAGAAGCACATGTTATTATATCCCAACAGTCTCTAAATACTTTATAATTGTAGTTTAGTAAAAATTGTTTTCATTGTAACCCGAATGCAATTTTTAAAAATTATTTGGAGGCCCTAGCCGGTTTGGCTCAGTGGATAGAGCTTCGGCCTGCAAACTAAAGGGCCCAGGGTTCGATTCCCATCAAGGGCACATGCCCGGGTTGTGGGCTCGATCCCCAGTAGGGGGCATGATGAGATATTCTCTCTCATCATTGATGCTTCTATCTCTCCCTCTCCCTCTCTGAAATCAATAAAAATATATATTTATTTTTAAAAAGTTATCCTGAGAAGGGTCCACAGTCTTCACCGGATGCCCAAGGGGCCTGCAGGACAGAGGGGTTAAGAAGCCACACCTGGGGAGCGGTGCCCTGCAGCCTTTTCTAGGAAGAATCTGTTCTGCCAACAGAAGTGTCCTGGAGTTGGGGTGTGAAGCCCTGGGGGGGGGGGGGTAGATACCCAGCCCTGTCCTGGGCACTGAAGAGGCTCAGAAATTCCATGATCATTTATTGATCATTTATTCCTGCCCCAATGCTGGGGAATCGATTGTGAGCAAGGCAGGAACTTAAGGAGCTCTGGGGGAGCTAATGGCGACAGGCAGCCCAAAGGACGGTCCTAAGAAGTGGGAGGGGGTCAGGGAGGGACACCTGACCTGGGGAGATGGCTGAGCAGAAGCAGGAGATCTGAAGGAAACGGAGGACGTCGAACCCAGGCTAGAAGGGACTTCCGACTGAATGTAGAAACACGATATGTACAAACCAAATGGCTACAAAACAGTTCTGTGGCCTCGTGGGTGCAAAAGTGAGAGGCTGTGTATTTTGATCTTTGTGGGTAACATGAGCGGGGGCGGGGGGTGGCGGAGGTTAACCTTATGCCCTCCAGCTACGGTGACCAACTGTCTCCATTTTCCCAAAACCAAGGGGTTTCCCTTGACATTGGACCTTTATTGCTCAAACCTAGAAAGTCCCTGGCAAACCAGGACCAGCTGGTCATCCTACTTCCACCACATAGCTCTGGGGACCTCTGAGGCCAAAAGTCCTGGTCATTAATGTCAGCCCACACAGAGTCAGAGTGCAGCAAACCCCATGTTCCCATTATAGAGACAGGAGAATTGAGGCCCAGAGAGGCTAGGGATTAGCCTCAAGCTGCCCAAATAATTAGTGGCAAAACTTGGTCTACAATTCTGGTTCCATTCCCTATCCAATGCTCAGGACAGTAAAGTCAGTGGTCCCTTCCCCTCAGCCCTGGACACCTTCATGTCCCCCATCCGTCATCCGAAGAGACTGTAGGTGCGTCCTCACGGGGGCTGGAGTTCCAACAGACAGGAGGGATGCCAGCTCCACTCCCTTAGGGGGCATCTCCCCTTGGCCCTCAAAACCACAGTGGTGTATCTGACACTCTTCTTGGAAGCAAGAAGAGAGACTATTTTCAGAGAGGGGCTTTTGAGACAAAGTTGGCTTAGGTTTGTATCTGCCCCAGCCGTGTGAGCGGGTAAGTTACTTCTCATCTCCGAGCCTCCATCTCCTTATCAGTGAAATGGGCATAACTTCACTCGCAAGGCCCTTCTTATACCCTCTGTCTCTGTCACGGACACCTTGCCAGCCTCATCAAATTGCTGGGTACGTAGCAGGCTCTCAATAAACAGTTACTGAAGGAAGGAAGGAAGGAAGGAAGGAAGGAAGGAAGGAAGGAAGGAAGGAAGGAAGGAAGGATGGATGAATGAATGAATGGTCAAACAACTTTCATTCTTCCCACCTTACTCTCTCACCATTTCACCTGGTAACTACCCTCCTCCTTCAGGTCTCAGCATCATGTACAAAACCTTCTCTGCCCTCCCAGCACCCACCAGGTCTGGATTGGGATGCATCCCCTGGACTATGCCAGCACCATGCCTACACACAGCATGACAGACCAGGTACATTCTCTTGTCATCACTGGCGTTTTCATCTGCATCTCCACCCCACCCCAACCTCAACCCCCGATGCTCACTACACCATGATCTCCATCAGGCAGGGACCTTGAACCAGAACCAAGTCTAGTTCATTGCTGTACTCCTGTGTCCTGGCATGGTGCCTCGCACATAATAGCTTCTCAACAAAGATGAGTTCAGGGAAACAAATGAATGAGCTGTTAGGGCTGGAAAAAAATCCCTGTAAAGTGCATCCTAGGTGCTCAATAAATGTTAGACTTTCGTATTTTAATTACACTTCTTTGTCTCACTACTTTTGGGGGACTATTTTACATATCATACAATTCACCCATTTCAATGGTGGTTAGTAAATTTACCAAGTTATGCAACTAGCACTATAAATCCGTTTTAGAATATTCTCTCTCTCCCAATACGATCTCTCATGCCCATTGACCGTTACTCCATGTTTCCACCCCTCCCCGGGCAACCACTCATCTACTCTCTCTATGGATTTGCCTTTTCTGGACATTTCATATAAATGGAATTGTACAATATGTGCCCTCTTGTGTCTTGATTCTTTCACTGAGCACAATGTTTTTGAGGTTCACCCATGTCATAGCATCAGTAGGTCATTTCTTTTGATTGATAATCTCTTTTTAAATTTTGATAGAATTCTTCATTAGCTGATTTATTTTTACACTTCAGTTCTCAACCTGGAAATAAGACTAATAAGAATATCCACTTCATAGGGTGGTTATAAGGATTAAATGAGTTAATACCTGTGAAGTCAGCACGTAGTAAATGCTCAATAAATAGTAGCTATTATCACCATAATTTTTTGACCTTTTTGCATATGCAAATATGGACAGCCCATAAATATATAAAGAGGCAGGAAAAAAATAAGTATCTCCAATGGTCCCACACCCAGTGGTCCTCTCTGGCATCTAAATTCAGTTGGGGACAATAAACTGCTCTCTCCACGGTGTCCCCATCCTCACCCGCAGGCTGCAGTTTCTAGAACATTCTCACCAGGTTTCTTCATGGAGAAATGAAAGAGAGCAGTAAAACATGATGGCACAGAGGAAAGGGAGCGGCTGCAAATCCCACATGAGTCTACAGGTGGAAATTAATCCTTTAAACAAAACAGCAGACTCTAGAGGTGTCCCATCTCTCCTCCCCAAAAACAATAATGATGACAGCAACAGCCAAAAAAACACCAACGCTGGCCAAACGGGCACGTTGCTGGGCCTCATCCCTCCTGGGCACCTCCGGGCTTACAAGCGACTTAAGCTGCCTGCTGGCTCGACAATTATTCTGGGCGGGTTTGCCTTCCTCGAAAAGGGCGTAGGTTTCACCGGCATCAGGGCGCCGAAGTGTCCCACTGGCTACCCGACAGCGTTGCTCTTGGTCAACAACGGCCTTGGGGGAGCCCTGGTTGCTTCCAGAACCTTCTCCAGGCTTCTATGGACCTGTCTCGGGAAGGCCAGTTGGGCAGTGCTGTATAATCTGGCTCCATGGCCGTGTGGGTACGAGGAGGGGATCCAGAGCCAGGCTCCATTCACTAACGGTGTGACTGTGGGCAGGTGACTTAACTGCCCCGTGCCTCAGTTTCCCCCTCTGTAAAATGGGAGTATTTACTGTGAGGATTACACAAGTCCACGTGTGTAAAAAGCTGAGAGCAGTACCTGGCATGTATTCGGAGCCGGCTCTCATGAGCCAATATTCCCCGAACCTCTGGTATGTGCCAGGCGCCGTTCTAGGTGTGGTTTGCCTCCACGTGACAGGGAACCAAGGCCAGGGATGTCAGAGGCCTAACCAGGGCCATGCTGGATTACTCTAGGGCAGTGGTTCTCAACCTTCCTAATGCCGCGACCCTTTAATACAGTTCCTCGTGTTGTGGTGACCCCCAATTTCATTGTTACAAATTGAACATAATTAAAGCATAGTGATTAATCACAAAAACAATATGTAATTATATGTGTTTTCCAATGGTCTTAGGCGACCCCTGTGAAAGGGTCGTTCGACTCCCAAAGGGGTCGCAACCCACAGGTTGAGAACCGCTGCTCTAGGGGGAGCCACAAGTTTGGGGGGCTTGCTTTCAGGCCTTATTCTCCAATTCCTGTATGACAAGCACCTGCTGAACGTCTCTTTTACCCAGACTCTGTCACTAAAACTCCCCATGATGAAGGCCCTTCTACAGATGGGAGAGTGGGGCTCAGTGGGTAAAGTGGCCCATCCACAGCACATGGATTGAGTTCTGGACCCAACTCTGAACTCCAAGTCCTGTCCCTCCCGCGCTAACTGCAGCTCCTTCTCGACAGCTCAGAGGGGGACATTCAGACACAGACCCGAGGAGGGAGCTGTTGGCGTCATGCCCGCCCACCCGTTCCACAGCAGGACCCTCAGTGAGCGGACAGGGGCACAGAGGAGCAAGTGGCAAGAGCATCCTCAAGGGAGCCCGGCGCCATGAGAAGCAGCGCCGTGCACTCCTGCCTCTGGGCCTTTGCACGTGCTGGCCTCCCCTCCAGGAACACTGCTCCCCTTCTCGCTGGCCCGTTTGTACTTATCCTTCAGATCTGAGCTTTGGTCCACCTCTCCTTTTTCATTTGTTGTCTTGTTTTGACTTTGTAATGACTTCCGTTCAGTAAAGTGCATCAGTACTACATGTACGGCTCAACCAATTTCCACATATGCGCACCCCGGAGTACTCACACACACACACACACACACACCCCACCCCGTGTACTCCCCCCCTCTCCCCCCAGTGTCCACACACACACACACACCCCACCCCGTGTACTCCCCCCCTCTCCCCCCAGTGTCCACACACACACACACACCCCACCCCGTGTACTCCCCCCCTCTCCCCCCAGTGTCCACACACACACACACACCACCACCCCCACCACCCCCACCCCAGTGTACTCACCCCCGGGTCATTGCTCCCTCCACCAGCGCCTCCCACAGGCAAGCAGGTTCTGGCCCTTCTCACCACGGGTTCCTTGCCAGCCTCCGGTCGGTGGACTCACACAGCTTTTGGCTCCCTTTGCTCAGTCTGACCTGAAGGAGACCCACCGTGCAGCTGAGTGTAGCAGCATTTTGCCCTTTCGCTTTGCTGTGTGGTATCATATGGCATGAAGTTATCACAGTTTATTTACTCAATCTCCTGCGGATGGACGTAGGAGCCGTCTCTGGTTTGGGGCTTAAGACTCGACGAACCTTTTCCTGTATATCTTCTGGGGATGATAAGTGCTTGTTCCTCTTGAGCACAAATCCAGGAATAAGCTGCCATGTCCTAGGGATGCGTATGTTTAGAGTTAGTAGATGCGGCCAGTTTTCCGAGGCGGCCATACACATTTATACCCCCTTCAGCAGTGTCTGGAGTTCTGACTGTCCATGTCCTGCTAATACTGGGTACGGTCAGTCCTTTCTATTTTATGCTTCCTGGGGGGTGTGAAGGGGAGCACTTCCCCTAGAAGCCACTCTGCAACTCCCAGACCAGAGCAGGGGCCTCCTGGTCTTGCCCACTATGGATGCGTTTCTCTGCGGCATTTCTCCCAATTCGCTGTCTCCCTCCTGCCATGGGGGTGGGGCTCCTGGAGGGAGGGAAGGATGCTCTCTCTGACCCACAGCGCCCGCCCGTGGGACGTGGGACGGAGAAGCCAGACCCTGCCACCTGCCCCCAGGCCGCTCAGCCTCTTGCAGTGCAGCCGGGAGTCCAGCCCCGACTCATAGGGGCGGGGCTTCTGGAGGGAGGGAAGGACGCTCTCTCTGACCCACAGGCCACTCAGCCTCTTGCAGTGCAGCCGGGAGTCCAGCCCCGAGGAGGCGGGCTCTCTCTTTGATGTGCCCAATCACCGTCAAGCCCGATGCTCCTTCCTGGGCGTGTGAGCCTCAGTTTCCCCGTGTCCAGAATAAGAATGATATCTCTGCCCCATAGGGTTGCGGTGAGAGCCAAGCGAAATGCAATACATTAAGTCTGGGAAGGGCGCCGGGCAGAGGGGCGTGGCGCCCTGCGATCACTCCACCGCCTGCAGCCCTGTCTCAGAGGAGACAACCTCCCCCGCCTCATCCTTCTCACCATCAGAGAGCTTTCTAAAGTGCCCGACTGCAGGAAGCCACACATCCATCTCTGCCACAAGTGGTGGGTCCCTGACCTCAAAACCCAGCAAGTGCTGGGAGCCTCCTCGCTGCTCCTGCCCGGCCTTACCTGCTCCAGCAGCGCTACCTGCGCTGGTGACGTGCCGGGCATTGCACTGAGCGTGTCCCTGCATCACTCCTTCTATCCCAACCTCGTCAGTTTGAGGGAAGGGCCGTCATTCCCCTTTTCCAGATGGAGAAACTGAGGTTCGGAGGAGCAGCTGGGTGGCCACACCAGCCTCAGGACCGGGAGGGCCCAGCCACTGCAGGGGGAGACCAGGATGTGTGGACTGTTGTCAGGAGGGCCCTGGGCAGTTCCAGAAACCACAGGGTAGCAGGGTGGGCAGGGCAGGGGAGTCCTGACCCCCTGGGGTACCCCTGTCTTCCCCACTGGCTGGCTTGTGAGCGTGGTGAATCCCCACTCCCTTCCCCACCGATGTCCGGTTTGCAAAGGGCTTTCTCACGTGGTAGAGGAAGCCTTCAGAGGAGGGGCCGGCAGGTTCTCCCTTCCCTCGCGGTCCTGTTTCTGCTGAGACAGATGTCCTAGCAGCGAGGACATTGCATGGGAGGCGACTGCAAAGAAAAGGGTGAGTCAAGGGCCCTCTTCCCAGAGGACCGCTCCTTCCAGCACCTTGAAAGGGCGGAATGCACTGAGCTCATCCCAGGCCCACGGCAGGGACGTCTCCCTGATTGTCCTGCACGCAACTCAAAGCTACACGTCACAGCAGCCACTGTGTCAGCCCCGGTGACTTCCCCGGCGGCTGTTTCGTAACTAGAGAGGCCTCGGCCAGCGAGACGTTTCCTTGGTCTACAGCTGCCCTGTGCCTTCCGGCCCAACTCAGAGTGACAATAGGATCCCTGAGGTGCCCAGCAACGGGGCATTGACCAACTCAGTCGCGGCGCATCCCTGAGCAGTGACACTCAGCAGCCCCGAGGATAGCACACGCCCATGTTTACTGGCGCAGGGAGAGGCCCACCAGTCACCATGGAAGCAAAAAGCATGGCCGTGAACCTCCATTGAAGAAGTGCCCGTCCTATGTCTGTAGGGCCGTCTGTGTACACACATGGAAAATTATCTGTAAGGGCGTCCGCGAGGTCAGCAGGTGGTTTTTACTTTTGTTAAATACCTTTATGTTTTTCTGAATAATTAGG